CATCACTATCTGCTAATAGACTAACTCAATGCATTGCCTAACTCAATGCAGTGCCTAACTCAATGCATTCTCAAACTCAATGCATTCCCTAACTCAATGCATCACCTATCTGCTAATAGACTAACTCAATGCATTGCCTAACTCAATGCATTGCCTAACTCAATGCATTCTCAAACACAATACATCACCTATCTGCTAATAGACTAACTCAATGCATTGCCTAACTCAATGCAGTGCCTAACTCAATGCAGTGCCTAACTTAATGCATTCCCTAACTCAATGCATTACCTAACTCAATGCATTCTTAAAATAAATGCATCACCTAACTCAATGCATTCTCAAACTCAATGCTTTGCCTAACTCAATGCATTCTCAAACTCAATGCATCCCTAACTCAGTGCATTCCCTAACTCAATGCATACTCTAACTCAATGCATCCCTAACTCAATGCATTCTCGAACTCAATGCATTCCCTAACTCAATGCATCACCTATCTGCTAATAGACTAACTCAATGCATTGCCTAACTCAATGCAGTGCCTAACTCAATGCATTCTCAAACTCAATACATCACCTATCTGCTAATAGACTAACTCAATGCATTGCCTAACTTAATGCAGTGCCTAACTCAATGCATTCTCAAACTCAATGCATTCCCTAACTCAATGCATTACCTAACTCAATGCATTCTTAAAATAAATGCATCACCTAACTCAATGCATTCTCAAACTCAATGCTTTGCCTAACTCAATGCATTCTCAAACTCAATGCATCCCTAACTCAGTGCATTCCCTAACTCAATGCATACTCTAACTCAATGCATCCCTAACTCAATGCATTCTCGAACTCAATGCATTCCCTAACTCAATGCATCACCTATCTGCTAATAGACTAACTCAATGCATTCTCAAACTCAATGCTTTGCCTAACTCAATGCATTCTCAAACTCAATGCATCCCTAACTCAGTGCATTCCTTAACTCAATGCATACTCTAACTCAATGCATTCTCGAACTCAATGCATTCCCTAACTCAATGCATTCCCTAACTCAATGCATTCTCGAACTCAATGCATCACCTAACTCAATGCATTCTCGAACTCAATGCATTCCCTAACTCAATGCATTCTCGAACTCAATGCATCACCTAACTCAATACATTCTCAAACTCAATGCATTCCCTAACTCAATGCATTCTCAAACTCAATGCATTCCCTAACTCAATGTATTCTCAAACTCAATGCATCACTGACTCAATGCATTCCCTAACTCAATGCATTCTTGAACTCAATGCATTCCTAACTCAATGCATTCCCCGACTCAATGCATTCCCTAACTCAATGCATTCTCAAACTCAATGCATTCCCTATTTAAGCTCAATGCATTCCCTAACTTAATGCATTCTCAAACTCAATGCATTCCTTATTTAAACTCAATGCATTCCCTAACTCAATGCATTCCCTCACTCAATGCATTCTCGAACTCAATGCATTCCCTAACTCAATGAATTCCCTATTTAAACTCAATGCATTCCCTAGCTCAATGCATTTCCTAACTCAATTCTTTCTCAAACTCAATGCATTCCCTATTTAAACTCAATGCATCACCTAACTCAATGCATTCTCATACTCAATGTATCTCTAATTTCATTGCCTGAAAACTCAACATAATGCCTAACTAAACACATTGCCTGAAAACTTAACATAATGCCTAACTAAACACATTGCCTGAAAACTTAACATAATGTCTAACTAAACACATTGCCTGAAAACTTAACATAATGCCTAACTAAACACATTGCCTGAAAACTGAACATAATGCCTAACTAAACACATTGTCTAAATCAATACATTGCCTAAAAACTCAACATGTTGCTGAAAAACATCTTTTCACCATATACTAGTATACCATGATAGAACATATAATTTGTTCTTACTCAGTGTAATTTCTTTCCTCAAGTGAGAAGCCTCGAATTAATACAAGGACCATAGATATGGACTACTTAAGATCACTTCCTGAAGGATTATTTGGAAGAGATTATGCAGATTACATGGATAAACATGTAAGTAACCAGGATTCTCAAATTAGTTACTCATTCAAATTTCCAATGCCACCCCTATTAAAATAATGGAATGTTCCAATCTCAACATGTAAAGGATGGTTTATTATGCTATTTTGTTAAGTGTTGAAAAAAATAAAATCCAGCCTCAACTTTTTGACTACCATAATTTCTTTCCAAAATTGTTCTTATATTCTACAATATTCCCTAATTTTGGAGTCAATTTTCAGTTTTTACTCAAAAAATTTGGCTATTTTTGTCCCAATCTTTGGAAGGATAGTGCAGACTATAAATGGGACTATTTTGTGAATTTGTGATGAAAAAAAGGAAACTGGTGGTGAAATGGTTGATGTGTATAGTTTATTAAAATTGATCACTATAGTGTTAGTGGTTGTTGCATCAGACTCATGATTGGCAGACTCAAGTTCAAATCCTTCCTGGAGTTGAACTTCTGAAAAGTGTTAACCCCCTACCCTGGGTGAGTGTGCCGCAGACTCAATGTGGTGGCTCATATTTTATTGGTCGAGATTCATTCACTAATGAATGTGACTTTGAAGGAACCTTCATTAAGGTCAACAGGTGTTTGTGTGCGACCAGCCCTGGTTAATGTCAGGACACCGCAATAAATTTCCATAATGTTGTCATGATAAGAAGATGGTCACACAACCCTGTCATGCAGTCAGGAAAGACAACGGTGACATACACACGCCAGCTGACTGTGGATCACACTCGTACATACTCTTTTTAGTAACCTGATTTGCATTATCCTCTGGAAAACAAACCATCTATGCAATAAATGATCAGTATTAATGTTTTCAAACTCAGAAATCACATTCACATGCTTTACCAGTGAATCTGCACTCTTAGCTTGGAAACAAAAACTGTTTGAACTCATCCACTTTTCATCAAATGTCCTGACAAACAAGAAATAGTATTAAAACGAAAATGAAAATATTGCATAAACAAATACGAATATGAACACAATAATGTCACTGATGTTTCTTTACTTCTAGAAAATCAGTGCTGATACCCGAATGCCGGTTAAATTCATAGACAATATAGAGGATGCCTATGTTATACAGCGATATCGCGAAGTACACGATTTTTGTCATTCATTTCTTGGTATGCCAACAAACTTCAAAGGCGAAGTTGTTGTGAAGTGGTTCGAGTGGATTCAAACCGGTTTGCCGATGTGTGGATTTGCGGCTGCCTTAGCACCAATAAAGCTGCCCCTGAGGTGAGATTATATTGAAGTTGACATAAGATTGAATTGGAAAACCTGGATTAGCAACCACAGTTTTACATCACTGTAAACTGTTTTATTTTCATCGCTATCAAATTTCATGATTAAATAATTTGAGGGAATTCGTGTAGATGAAATCCCAGTGAAAGTTACTGTGACTCACTAGGATTCTAGTGAATGTCGCTCTGACTCCCTAGGTACCAAGATAATGTCACTCAAATTAATATATTCTTGCAAATGCACTAAATGTGATATTGATTTTTTTCCACACTATGGAAATATGTGTGTGATATATTCTTTTAACTACTTCAATTTCACAAGATAAAGTCAGAGAAAAATTGTGAAATTTGTTATCAGCGGGACTCTAGGGAGTCATAGCAACTTTCTCTGGGGTCCTAGAGAGTCACAATGACTTGCAAAATGTTGTTCTCTGTCAACATTATTAAGGAGTGGGACGCCCTCTTCATAATGAATCTCTGCAATATACCAAGTAAACATAGGGAACAATATAAACAATGTCACATTAACCATGGAAAGTCGTCAATATGTTATTTTTTGGAAAATCACTGTCTGTGGGAAAACTCAATATCACATGATAAATCATTCACACTTGTAATAGTAGTGTAGTGTGAAAAAAACTGATATTTCACACTAAAAATAAATTATTGTTGGATTAAACATCTTTCCGATCAATAATCTGTAGAAAATACATCATTCAGATTTTGTGTTACCAAACAATGTATTAAACACAATACCATGTGATGAAAACGAAGTGCAGACATTCTAATTTGTCCAAATAAAAGTCATATGTCAAAGGTACAAGTATGCATCAGAAATTCAGTATTTTACATCAAGTTATCCAGAAAGAGCTTAGAATGGAAATTCATGGTTTTCTCATTTGGAGAATTTGCAACTGCGCCCTCTATTTCTCATTTTCTTGTTAGAGGGCGCACTCAAAGAGACTATTGTGTTGGTTACGAGTAACTTTTTCACCACCTAATTTTCCAAATTTGTCTGCACTTTTTTCTTATATTTTTCAATATTTCTGGAAATGAACCCTAATTTTGGAGCCAACAGACAAAATTTGAGTCAATTTTCACTTAAAAACTTTGGCTATTTGTCCCAATCTTCTGAAGGAAAGTGTAGACTATAAACAGGACTGTTATGTGAATTTGTGATGAAAAGAGGAAACTGGTGATGAAATACATATATTATATATATTTATTTGTATATTTTTATTTGTAGCAAGAGGATTGACCTGACAAGAGACTATATAGTATGGACAATCAAGACTGCCCTCAATGCCAAGTTTTACATGAATATTTATTTTGAGAAGCATTTTGAGCAGCCATTGGATGAGTTCCGACAAGAACTAGGAATTGGAACGCCACCTGAAATGACGTGAATTAATAACACTAAACTGAATAGTCTGCACAATAGAATAGTTATTGGATGTCTTGCCTGCCTTGAATCTTTCATTTATGCTGCTTAATGTTGTTTTATTGAAATACTTTTGTTTGTCGCCGTTCCATAACTGCAACAATTACATTATTGGCAAGATATCCAGGTCAGATGTTGTTTGCAAATGGCCAAACATTTCGGTAGATTTGGTTTTGATTGAATTGTCAGCATTTTGAAGTGTCATGAAGTTCAATCGCATTTGGGACTTTCCAACTGACAATTCATATAAATCAAAATTGTAGTTGAAGCGTTTTCCATAGAATAGTTTGCAATGACGGTCGTTTTTCACTACCTGTGCTTTTTAGATCTCTTCTCTTCTTTTTTTGCCACTACTTCCAAGTGATCTTCAAACAAAAATATTGTAAAACATGTCTTTTTCACGAGCATGTCTTTTTAGTGAATTTAGCGAGAGAACAGATTTGCTAATTCAGGATGTCGCTAATGACTGTATTATAAATTCAAAATGGATGCCAAACAACGTCTTTTTTCTCCACTGACATGATAAATACACTTTATTGAAAAGTAAATTAACACAAAAAAATAAACGTATACATTGTGGTCATTATTTCAATGAAAATAAATAAATGAAGTGATATATTATTACGGAAATTTTGTAAAAACACACCGCTACGCATGTTGTACGAGATATCAAATATTTTAATACATAACAATAATGCAAATACAAAAAACTAGCAATTACAGAACGACAAAATCAAGAAAAATTTGGGCAGGGGGGCCCTTCGGTCTGACTTCCTGGGGCCATGGTCAAGGTCGCTGACCTTGAGTGGCAAGTTTTGGTCAAACAAGAGTGCCGAGAATGGAGGATGGCCACCATGAGAATTGTGACGGTACTCTTGAATGGGGGGCAGGATAAAATCCTTGGCCTTGACCCAGGTCAGAACGAAAGGGTCCAAGGAGGAAGAAAGGGGATGGTGGAGGGTTAGCGAGCGATGTGCACTGAGGCGAAACAAAAAGCTGAATGAAAAGCTGAAACAAAGAAAGTTGACAACAAAGCTAGGTGACGCTAAGAGACGTGTGCAACTTGACACTGACCTTGGTGCTAATTGGAGGAGAATAAAAGCAGTTAATTGGTCAAAATTAACGACGAGTGATTGGCTGGAGTTGATGCTTCAGCGATCCGGATTAAGCCTCAAGCTCAGTGCTTTTACAAAATGGGTCTGTGACACCACAGACCCCCACTTTGTAAAAACACACCGCTACGCAAGTTGTACGAGATATCAAATATTTTAATACATAACAATAATGCAAATACAAAAAACTAGCAATTACAGAACTACAAAATCAAGAAAAATTTGGGCAGGGGGGCCCCTTCGGTCTGACTTCCTGGGGCCAAGGTCAAGGTCGCTGACCTTGAGTGGCAAGTTTTGGTCAAACAAGAGTGCCGAGAATGGAGGATGGCCACCATGAGAATGGTGACGGTACTCTTGAATGGGGGGTAGGATAAAATCCTAGGCCCAAGCGAAGGTCAGGTAGGCTGCATGACTGGAGAGACCCCCATGAAATAAGGAATTAAAAAAAAGGAAAAAAAAAACAACACGAGGGGGAAGTGAGATCGCGGCTTAATGTTCTGGATGTAACTCAGCAACAATACTCGCTTTTTATATCCCTGTTGAATAAGTTTTTTATCATTGCAAACAGAATCAAATTACTCTTGACAGTTTTCTTTGTTTTTATGGAGGTGATAACTGCGCATTTGTTTTGGTGCACGAAAGACAAGTATTGTGAAAACAGGAAATAAACAATGACAAGAGAGATTCGCTAAATCAACATTTCGCTATTTCTTAATTTTACCACAATTCGCTAAAATTGCATGTCGCTTTTTCAACATGTTTTACAGTAGTTCATATTTCCTAGACTAGTTCAACCGAGCATGTTCCATAGTCGAATTCATAAGTGTTGCACAACAGGATTTTTGGTTATTCAGGTATAAAATAAACTAGCAGCAGAACAAGAAGTTAACTAGTTAAAGAAGCAATAATATTGTTTTTTGATATTGTATTTTAATAACATTTGATAATGATATTTAACGTTACGGGCTGCTTTGGTCATTAATAAATTTACGTTCGTTTGGGGAAGAATAGACGACGTGTATGCGTTTAAAATAACTGGTACGTACCAATAATTGAAAATGTTTCTTTCATTATTTCGCAGCATAAATACTACCATTTTTGTTATGATGAAACATATTCCAGTTTTTCTAACTTGCATTATTGGAAAAAAAAAAAGTTAAAAAATATTCAAATTCTTCATTAACTATTCACCACTATCAACTTTGTTACCTGCCGCAAAATCATCCCATTGAAACACTTTCATTTTCATGAAAAACAGGATTTCGATAAACACAACTATATGTTTGGTTTAAATTTACAATTTCACAGTGAATGGATTGATGTTCATGAGATTTTTTTTTTAACTATCTTTGACATTATTGTATTGTCTGTATTTTTATTGCATCATATTATAGTTCTTGAAAAATACAAATCTGATTTGCCTTGAAACTTGGTGTATATGTAACTTGGGGAGACCTATTTCAGATTTTTGCTCATTTCGTGATGATATCTTTAAGTTTCAACTTTTTGTTGAAAAGTGCAAGTTTGATTGCTTTGAAATTATACATATAGTTACCTATTAAAGTTGAATTAATCTCAGATTTATTTATTTTGTGATGATATCTTCAATTCTCTAATTGAAATGTGCATTTCTAACAGCAGAGCTATCTCAGCCAAGATGCTGTTTGTTTCAAAAATGTTGTTTATGATCTGTAGCCAATAGAAATGCCCAAACAATTTTAAACAAGCAGCCTCTCGGTTGAGATAGCTCCGCTGTTAGCAATGCACATTTCAATTAAAGAACAGAAGATATCATTAGAAAATGAACAATATGTACATGTATAGTATGTATAGCAATCTGACTTGCCGTTTTCAACAAGAATTCAAAAATATCACTTTTTACCAAAAATGACAAAAATATTCACCAAAATTAGAGAATTGAGGATATCATCACAAAATGAACAAATCTGAGAAAGGTCCACATGTCGTAACTATATATTTAATATCAAAGCAATTGGACTTTTGGTTTTTAACAAGAAGTCAAAGATATCACTTTTTACCAAAAATGACAAAAATATTCACAAAAATTAGAGAATTGAAGATATCATCATGAAATGAACAAATCTAAGAGAGGTCTACTCCAGGTACATACACACCAAGTATCAAAGCATTCAGGCTTGTAGTTTTCAAGAAGGAGTCGAAAAAGTAAAACATTGACACGGACGACAACGGACGCCGACGGACAATCGCTCATATGATAAGCTCCGCTCAACAAAGTCGACAGCGGAGCTAAAAATTTAAAATACATAAAAATAATAAAATTGTTCCACTATTTTGGTGGAAGATGAATTTTCAAGTTACTGGAGTCTTGGAAAAGCTTGAACTAGTTTTCATATTGTGTGGAAGTAAAAGTGAAATTATTAATTAAAAACATTTTTACAACAGTTACAAAATATGGAATCTGGTGATTTTTTTTGTTTATTTTAAGAGCATACAATGTACCCGTTGTACCAGTAAGTGTTGAAAATTCACAAAATGGCCTTTATGAAATCTATGACATTTCCTTTGTATAAACTGGAGCAGTTTACTAATTTGGGTGATTTTTCATTAAGGGGGGGGGGCTAAAAAACCAATTTGGATATCCCAATAATGAATTTCAGCGTCTCGTCTGAATCCACATGTGAGCAACTGTGCTTAATAATCACTCAACAAATAAATTTTCTTCAAATAAGTTTATTGCTGGCTAGAAATAAACCAGTTACATTTTATCAATGTATCAATCAATCTCTAACCTTGCAGAAAGCTCAACATAACTGGACATTGTTATATGAAACGCTTTTCTCCAATTGTAGTCAACAAATATGGGGAAAAATTAATGTAGACAGAACAGAATATGAACAAATTCTAATAAGATAACTCAAATCATAATCCTAATTCAGCCATTTTATGTATGTACAACTTGGAACAATGTACAGATTTTCTGAATTACTTGATATCAAAATTTCTTAACGTTTCTCAAAATATGACATTTGTGATAGCGTCTGGTGGAAATATTTGGATAACAGATAGGATTTATACACAACATTAGCAGTTAAAGATCACATGACAAAAAAAAATAATATTTTTACCCCATTTTATATAAATAAGTCACTGAAAAATTTTCAAAACTAGTTCCACAGACTAGAAGATTATGATGAAGTCACTTTTTTTTTCGTTAATCACCAGAATTTTATTTGATTCATTTACATAATCCAAACTATGAACTATAAGATTTTTTTGTGTGATAAGGAGATTTACAAAATTGACACTTCATCAATAAAACTTCAAATGTCTGGAAAAAGTAAGGCTACATGTACATTTCAAACAACCGTATGCCTTGACAACCATGTTGCGGCACCCCCCCCCCCCCAACTCCACCAGGGTGATGAACAAGGCAAAAACCATAAATAGATGTTTCTGGTACAAATCGTTTTAAAATGGGATGCTCACAAATTTTGTTTGTTTGTTTTTGAAAAAAAAATGGAAAGAAAACATAAAACTAAAAGAACTGTGTGTTAAAAGAAAAGAGAAAAAATGCACATCAACCTTGGACCAAAAACAGATCTATTTTTGTTTGTCTTAGGTATATATCACACTATTAAACATGCAGCACATTTTGAATTATTTTTCACTAATTAATCAAAACATGCACCAACGTGTAAAGAAATTATTAGAGTCATCCTTGTTTTATTCGTTACAAACAAAACAGGACCAGGTAGTATGACCTACATTCTGAAATGACCTTCACACAGTCAGCTTAACACCACTTTATCGGTGGGCACAGTTGTAAATAAAAATTGATGACTTTAAGTCCCGGCATTAGGAAATACACAATGTACATGTAAAGCTGGTTTTAAATATCAAAAGCATGGACCTTGTCATGCCGGCTTGCCTTGAAAAATGAGCCAGATTTATACAAATTTACGTTTCTCAACATTGATTGTAGCTCAGGCCAAATAAAAAAAAAATAACGAGTTTCCGATCATCCAACCTTGCTTAAATGTTTCCTTTTTATAGCCAAATCTAGAAAATGAGCTCTTGTAGGTACATTTTTCAGCTCTACTTGATATTCTTCATTTTTGAACTGAAATTTCACCTGTACATGTAACATGTGATGTATTATTGAATAATATAACAGCACGGGCCAAGCAGCATTGTGGAATAATAAATTGAGAATAATTCCTTTTCATGAAATAAAAAGTTATTACAACCTACCTACCCTAATTTTGTTGACAATGTTACCAGAAACACAATATCAATTTTATTTGGCCTTATTTGAAGGCCTTCAGCAAACGTGAAAAAACATGACTTTTATCATTAATATATCATTTTTAATACAGACATGCATGTTCGAAAACACTGTCTGAGAACTCCTACTGATGTAAGATGCCGGAAAGCATTGACGCACAGGGAAAGAAAGCAATTTGTTCGTATCTGGTACTGTGCCCCTCCCCCAATCCTTGAAAGGAATATTCCAAAAACGAAAAAAACACATGTACAGTGTCTCTGTTCTAGATTCTATTTTTATGGTGTGTGCTATTTTTTGATGCTTACAATGCAAAATGTTTCTCTCTCACAAAAATCATGAAAGGACCATATGTAAATGCATTAATTATTCACTGGCTTTTAAATTTCACAGTTATCACCAATAAATAAAATAAGCTAAATTAAATCTATGTGAACAACTAAAATAACTCGTTTTTCTGGTAAATTTGTGAATTTAAAAACAAAACAAAACATGAATATGCTCAAAATAGTGAAATTAAATGGTTTTTACAGAACTTTCCATGGGCGTCAATTAAAATGACTGTCAACAGCTACACAATTCTAATATCAGTAACTTCATTCATCCACCCATGACGCTGCAAGCTAAAAAAGCCCACCTGTATTACGACAATGCAGCAAATAAATGTATACATCCCGTAATATTTTGCTGACAATGTTTTTTTTTATTTTTCCACAATGCATATTACTTCTATGGAAACATCAGGTTTGTTTTATGTATAGACCGCCACACGCGTTCACATTTTGCCCACATGCACAGCGACTGGTTGGAAAGAGCCAGTCGTTCGCACTCTAAGAAAATGTTCTTCACTGCTGTTTTAAATATACATGCAATTATTGTAATTTATCACAGCAGATCACAAACTAGTGTTGATCAGTTACCAATATATTTGTTATCAAACATTCGCATACAGGGCTTATAATGTACATTGCCCTAGAGAGAAGAAGTGAAAGTACATATTTGCAGGAACAAATCATACAGTCTGAAGTCTAAACAGTACAATACTGTTTTCAGGCCAAATTGAAAAAAAAACACAGGAATATTTTTTTTTAATTGGAATTGTTATAAATATTATGGGTGGGACATCAAAGAAAGTGAATGAAGGGATGGATGGATGTAACAAATTAGAGTATGGCTGCATGGAGAGAATTTCTGTACAATGACAAAAATGAAAATTCTGTGACACTTGGACCATAATGAAAAGCATTTAATACTCAACCCCTTCAGTTTTACACAAGTTAATTTGCATAACAACACAAAAGACAAATACCATTTCGAGCATATCAAATACAGTACAATGCTTAAAATTTCATTACTGATGAATATTCAGCAACTTTCTAGGACTCCTGGCAAAATTCCAAAAAAAATTGTATCATTGGAAATATACTATGGTAGGGGGTTAACTTTTGTGAAATTTTCTGTCTAAAAATTTTCACATTAAATATTCTGCAAAAATGTTGTATTTTTTTTTTACAGCTAAGTATTGCGAAGTGCTGCATCATGAATGTTTCCCAATAGAATGTAATTGTCTTTGCATCTAAAAATGTGTGTGTGTGTGTAATGCACAGTATAAATATACAGAGTCACCACTGTGACAATATAACAAAACCTCCATGTAATAAAAATACACTGTAAACCAGACTGTAAACGCATCCATTTTCAGTGCTATTGCTACTTTTATCATATTAGATGGATTTCAAATTCACAAATTTTACTCTAACGATGAGTATTATTGTCATTTTTCTTGTTCGCATATATTAAATTTAGTGACGAAAATAGCGAAATGAATGCATTTACAGATACAAGAACAACATCAAAAATTACAGCCATCATGAAAAACGCAGACTTAGCCAAGAACAGAAAATGGCAGGTTTTCATCCTTTAAATGTTAACACAATAAAATTAACTTGTGCGATATAGAGTTGTTTTTTTCCTAAAACATTACTAAAATATTTGCTATATGTAGGGCACAATTTATTAATTCTACATGTAAATAAATGAATCATGGGAAATTTATGCAAATAATGTGCACAGCAGTGACACAGCTTAGGAGCACCAAGTTGAAATAAATATTGCATTGTTTATTGCGCTCCTACAACTGAAACGGAAAGTGTTAAACCACCACCGCGCATGATGGAGAGTTCAGTAGATTGTCCATAATTCAAATTTACAGTATCATTATTGTACTTTAAGCTCAATTTACAAATTATTTTTGATTCCCAAGTTTTGCCATTTTAGATATTATGAAACTGAAGGTCAGTTTCTTAACTGCTAGGACTGTGTTTACAATTGATTTAAAAGACTCTTCCTGAACACATGGGACCAGCTTGGACATGGGTCAACAAGTTTGAAATCTATTTTTTTTTAAGGATTATAAACGAGGTAAAAAAAAAAAAAAATTCACCTGTCATGTCCACTAGACCGTCCATGACAAGATTTTGAAAAGATTTCTATTATTAGAATTTTGTTTCCATCAAATTTATTTGCTAATTGCCCGGTGATTGTTATTTACATGTGGAACAAACAAAAATGTTGGTGTGCGTTGAAAGATTGAACCACAAAAAAAAAGCATGTCAACATTGCAGTGGTACACAATAAGACATTTTATTTTGATAAATTCTTGTGATACGCAAATTGCTGTAGGTGAACATATCATTGACCAAGAAAAAAAAAAAAGTTTATAGTCAATTTATTTTTTCTAAAAGTGATGCGGACATGTGGTTTTGCTTATGCATTTTATAACTGTCATGAAAATTGTGATTTTAATTTGAAGTTTGATATAACTTGACCTTTTCATTCATTTTTTCAAAAATTCGGACCAGAATGAAATATGATGCACAGATTTTAAACGGATTATGTGCAATGAGTAAAAGCATGAATATACATGTGGAGGGAGTATACTCCATTTTCAAATTGGTGTGATTGACTGTAAAACACGCTTGCTTGTTATTCAAGCCAATAACCATTTCACTAATTCAAGATATAGCGAAGTCAGCAAAAAAAAATATTTTTGAAACAAGATTGTTGACATTTTAGCTAATATCAACTGCTACAATCAATATACAAAATTAACGTCTGTTAATTCAAATTTGAATGTAACTGCATATAGCTATTTTCAAAGTGTATATTTGTTATCACAAATAAAACTTGTTCTTGATTCAAAAAAAGAAAGATATTAATTATTCTTTTAAAGCAAGGAGTTTCAGGAATAGTTTTTTGGAGAATCAGAAGAGTTGAGAATGGCAGTGAAGGAGATACCTTATATAACACACATTTGAATGAACTTGCTTTCAGTGAAACATTGATATGGTTTTAAGAAAACTGGAAAATATTCTACTGTGACATTCTTTGGATTTGAGATTTACGCAATTGCAAATTGTTGTTCTTTTTTTTAAAAAAAAAAGCGCTGTAAATTCTATTTCAGTTTAACAATAACACTTGGCATATATGGGGAGACACAAAATGAGGTATACAACATGGAATTATGGGAAATATCTGCAACAAGAATGTGGTAAGAAGTGTATATATTGAAAACATGATGAAAATATTATAAATTCTTTAAAAGTATGACTATCTGTTTGCAGCTATCTGTCCGGCGGCCTGTCAAAAATTCGGCTTCTTTTCCTTTCACGACAGTGTTTCTTGTGTACGGGCCAGTCCCTTTGTTGACAGTGGGTTCCGCAATAACGAACTTCTTGACATCGGCCACAAATACTGAATTCTCGAAGCTGAAATGAAAAAATTAATGTAAGTGATGTAATAGATATAATGTACAATCCTTGAAGGTCTTACACATCCTGATACTTTCTGGGGATATAAATGTCCCAGGTTAGACACATGTCTAATACATGACCCCTTAAAGGTCACACATCCTGGGACTTTTTGGGGGTACAATAATCGCCAAAATTGTGCCTAAATTTTCGCCATATTTTTGAACTTCTCTGACAACTTCTTGCGTTTTCTAGGAAAAATATTTGATAAATTGATATGTACCAGGTCATGCATCCAGCCTATTTCATGGTGTATACTTAATAGGCGGTGGTTGTCTCACAGTACACAGTCGAAGTTCACATAAACAAACAATGTATTTTCCCCCACCTAATGTAATGTAGTACAACAAAGATGTAAAAAAACAATGTGTGGAGCAATAAAATAATCAAAATAACAAAGTACTGTAGAATACTTTATTTTCGCTTGGAATTTATTTTCGCTATTTTCGCTGAAGGGATGATTCCGTGAAAATAAAATCCAGCGAATATACTTTTTTTCCTATATTTAACATTAAACTCGTCAAAAATCAGTGAAAATAAATTCCATACAAAACGCCCAAAAAGCCTTTTCAGCGAAAATTAATTCCAGCGAAAATAAAGTATTCCACAGTAATATGACTGGAGGTTTTCGAAAAGTTACGTTATAGCCATGCACCATGCACTGCTCAGTTATTTTTAGAGCTGACATCATGAGCTGAAACTACAAATTTGCTGAACACTAATCTTAAGGGTCAAACATTTGAAATGATTGGGGGGGGGGTGAAGAGCAAAACCAGTGCAATTTTTGTTTTCCTGTAACACCTTTTTGTTTGTGGTGTAATTTCAAATGATTGACTCCTTACCTCCGATTCCATCTGAGTACACGGTGGATAATGACATTCATAATAGGATATATTATCATCTTCCCCTTCTACTATCTCGCCATTTGCATTATAAAATTTACAGTGCACCATTTCTGGAAATTGCTGTGGAAAAAACATTGTATATTAGGAATGGACTATTATAATCGGAGGGGGATGTTGAACCAATATAAAATAAAATCTGGCTAAAAAAAAATGGACAGCTTTTTTTATCTTCTCACCCCCACTAATGATTGTAATGGTCACCTCTTAATATCAGATAAATCTTAATCATGCACTAAACCGGAATGTGACTGCTATAAAGACATACCAGAGGTACATTACTTGGGGTTTGCAACTCGCATAGTACTGTATGGTGACATCATGTCAAGATCCCATTCAAGTCTCTTCTCGTAGATAGCGAGACTGAGGCTACGACCTTCTGACATGACGCATATCAATGTTCAAGGTTTGTAATGAAAAAAAATAAACTTTTCTTGTCACTATCATAGTGAAAAATGTAATACATCGAAAATGTACAGAAAATATAGTTCTTGTAATCCGTCATATCGTGGGCAGCTATTTTGATCCACCTGGACATCCCAGTATCCTCGTTACCTCGGGCATGCGCATTCGCATTTTTTCTGAGTTGGAACGTTTATGCGAGAGCGAGATTGTGACGGGATCTTGGTATCATGTCACCGTAGTTACAAACCCCAAGTAATGTACCTCTGGACATACTGTAAAAGGGTTAATTATTCACTGGGTTTTAATTTTGCTTATTTCACTGACTGGAAAATGTGCTAAATTAAAACCCAGTGAATGTAAAATTTAACATAGAACACATTATCTAAATGATAAAACTAAATATGCCTGAAATTGTAAATCAGCAAAATTTAAACCCAGTGAAAATTAGTCGTTTTACAGTATTTTTAATTTATTTTGCAGATTAAATCACATAAATGCTTTGTTAATTCTGTCTCCACTTTTAAACCACAAACATGGCTTGTTATTTCTTTTCTCACTGCCCATTAAGACACAAATTTTTCATTATTTCTTTTCTCATTTCACATCAACTCACAAACATGGTTTGTTATTTCTTTCCTCAATTCACATTGTTTTTATACTAACCATACTGTGTCCACAGAGGGTACAATTGTGTAATATTTAGGTCATTAAACAATGTACAAACAATGCTCATTATTTCGTTCCTTCACATTAAACCACAAAAATGGTTTGTTATTTCTTACCTCATCTATGGGATCAGCAGGCAACTGTTGAATAGCAACCCAGTATAAACTGTGTTCTCTATTTGCATTTTTTAACGTTTCTTCGCCATGGTAACAACTATTTACAGGAACTAAAGTTAAATTCTCCATTCTATTATCTGTAACAAAGAAAAACAAAAACAAAAATTAAAAAAAATTAAGATTTAAAAAAACTTTAAATCTGGAATCATTATGTTGTTTGCCTTGATATATATTTCAGATGTTTTTACTGTCACCTTGGCAACAATACTAAGTTGCTGACTGGTTTGCAATACACATCTCAAGACTGGAACTGATTGGATCAAACAAACATCAAAACGTGAGGGAGTCGTCACCCACACATGCATCAGATGGCCATAGCGTGTCATTGTTTACAAACAAGCATCTACACATGAGCCTTTGTAATTTTAGCGTGTGTTGTCATCCTCACTTAGGACTCAATTCCCGAGTGTGCGCAGGTAAGAACCCTCCCGCTTTAACTACATATAGAATATCAGTAGAAAATGGCAAAATTATTGAGAAAATTGTAGTGTAACTATTGATTCAGCCTGACATATTAGGTCACAGGTGGTTAGGTATACGGCTATCCTTGGGACGAGAGTGTGTACTTTAATGTAACATCAGACTACAGATTAATTCAATGCCACAACAGAATAAATAAGTCACTATTTTGGTTCTTGTTTTATTTGTTTGTACGAGTTGTCCTCATGAATAATTAATCACATGACCTATGACATCATTTGAAACTTGCACTAAATGCTATGGGAGTATGAAATATTCAATAGAAAAGATCCCGTACATTTACACCACCATTTTACACCCATCAGCACAGTACATGATCTTACTACTCAATATGGAAATCTATTCATATCTAATGGTAAAGACAACACACTGTTACCATGGTGACTTGTATTATAATACCAAGCCATGTTGAATAAACACCAAGTATTTATAGTTTTATATCAAAATTTGCTTGATAAATTCAAAAGTACTGTAAAATCTGTATGAGAAGCTTCATTTCTAACAGAAGTATCACCCATTCTTTCCGAACCATTGAAAAAAAATCATCTTTTTTCAATAGTGTAGAAGCCATATCCTAGTTGTTTTATTGTAACAGTTTAACAGAAGCAACTTTCACAGAAATAAATATAATGTACTATATACATGTAGATACTAGTTTCAATAATGTTTATTGTATTTCAACTGTAATATGCAAAACCAACAGTAGGACAATAATATAACTGTTGAACACACTTGTACACATACTGTAAAATGACTAATTTTCACTGGGTTTAAATTTCACTGATTTACCATTTCAGGCATATTTAGTGGGTTTTAAATTCACGGTTTTATCATTTAGATAATGTGTTCTATGCTAAATTTTACATATTCACTGTGTTTTAATTTAGCGCATTTCTCCAGTCAGCGAAATAAGCTAAATTAAAACCCAGTGAATAATTACCCCCTTTACAGTACTGTAAATGCATTAATTATTTACGGATTTTTATTTCATTATTTTCCCTGATACTGTGTAAGGATTAATTATTCACTGGGTTTCAATTTTGCTTTTTTCGCTGACTGGAGAATGCGCTAAATTAAAACCCAGTGAATATGTAGAATTTAGAATAGAACACTCTAAATCTAAATGATAAAACCGTGAATTTAAAACCCACTGAATAAGCCTGAAATGGTAAATCAGCAAAATTTAAACCCAGGGAAAATAAGTTATTTTACAGTAAGTAAATCCACTAAATTAAATCTATGTGAACATGTAAAATAATAATAAATCTCATTGTTTTCTTGACAAATTCGTAAAATTAAAACACAGTGAATATAATCAAAACATCAAAATAGTAAAATTAAATGTCAGTGAAAATAAATGGTTTTACAGTACAATGTCACAGTAATTGCTAAGTTTTCTAATTGTTCATGGAATATTTGAAAATCTTTTTTTTGCCAAATTAAAATGACTTCCAGCAACTAACAAATATTTTGTTTCTTCTGATAGTTACATCATTTTTTTTCTCCAGATAGGGTTGAATGGGGGAATGTTGTTTTTTGTTTCAGAATTCAAACTTTAAAGCAGGTATTTGAAAAAATTATTTAATACAAATTTTAAATGTTGAATACTGTAAAATACTTTATTTTCGCTTTGAATTAATTTTCGCCATTTTTGCTGAAAAGATTATTCAGTGAAAACAAGCAATGCATGGCACAGTCCCCGTTAGTTATCAAATTTAAGATATATAGTTTTGTTTATAGTAATATAGCTGGAATATAACCATGTCAGGAATATGATTTTTTAACATTAAAATGATTAACATTTGTATCTGATCGTCAAACAAGTACTTGTCCATAATGAGAGATATTGCTCTGGAACATCATTCAAAATCAGCCATTTTGAATACATACATATATATATACACAACATGTATAATGAATTTATAAAATTTGAACATAATCAATCAAAGCATTTAAGAGATATGGCTCTCGAAGCCCAATCATTAAAACAAAATGGCCGCCAGTCAGCTATTTTGAATCCAATCTGAAAAATAAAATGACGTGCGTCAGGAACCTGCAATGTCTAATGTATGTTATACGTTTGAACAAAATCCATCCATAAATGCAAGAAATGCTTGATATTTGAGGATTTTTTAGCACAAAAATAGCCACCATTTGGCCACTTTGAAAAGGATCGTCAAACCAATATATTCGTATATCTATGACATGATGTATAATGAATATTAAAAATTTGAACATTATCAGTCAAAACAAGTCAGACATATGGGTCTGGAAACCAATTCATTAAAACAAAATGGCCGCCAGACAGCCATTTTGAATCTGATCTGACAAATAAAATGATGTGCATCAGGAACCCGTATGTACCAAGTTTGAACGAAATCCATCCATAAATGCCAGAAATGCTTGATTTTTATGATTTTTTAGCACAAAAATGGCCGCCATTCAGCCATCTTGAATCAGATCGTGAAACAAATTGATGTGCATATGTATAATATCATGTATGATGTATGTAAGAAGTTTGATTGTCATTGGTCCAGGCATTTCTAAGATACAGGTCCGGACGAACGAAAGCACGCACACACGCACGCACGCACACACACACACGGAGGTCAAAACACAACTCAACTTACCTACACTGACGCCATTTTTGTGTACAACTTTAAAGGTGGGTGCTATTCCTCCACAGTGCATCTCCCATAATAGATCATGCACGTAGCGTCCAGAGCCTCTGCCTTTGTGCATATCGTATGCCCACGCAAACACTCTAGCACCATTGCCATCTTTATCTATCTCAACACGTGCCTGCAAATCACAAGTCTCAAAATTAATATGATGTGTCGCCAGGCGATATGATGTCGTACATGTTTACAAGATGATTTAACCTTTTCATCACCAGTTCCCTGTTTTCAACAAAAATTCACAAAATACACTGTACTTTTCTTCTGAAGACTGGGATAAAATTAGCCAAATTTTTTGAGTAAAAACTGAAAATTTATTCAAATTTTTTTTCGTTTGCTTAAAATTAGAATTCATTTCAAAAAATATTGAAGAATTTAAACAAAAATATGCAGAATAATTTGGGCAAGGATATCACTGGGTGGTGAAAAGGTTAATATAGTATTTACCCTACAGTGTCTAAAAAAAATAAAAAATAATATCAAACAATGGCAAAGACGTGCAAAATATATGAATGAATTTGGTCAGGCCCCTCCCTGTCTTGTCTGAAAAATGTAAAAACAGAGCAAATTTTCAATATATTGTATGTAACTAACAAGCCTTAGCTCAGAGCAATGCCAACTTTAGATTTGTAGAAAACATCCACTAACTAAATAAAATTAAGGTAAAATTCATATTTTGTACATGTATATACCGGTAATGGAAAAATAGCATCACCATGGAAACTAGCTAAAGTATTTATGTAAATTTTTTAAATGATTTCACAATGTTATATTTCACCTTTTTCATCCCATGGCACTGAGCAAAATTTTGAGATATGAATAAATAATCTCGTCATAGAAACCAGTGCAAAAATGACAATTTTGACCATTTTCCATAATATTTCAGACAGACTCTTGTATCTCCGAAAATAATCCAGTGACCCCAATTTTTTTTAATTAACAATATTCTGGTAGTATGAACTTATTATATTGAGATAATAAAAACATGACATTTAATCTTCAATTTGGCTTGAACCACCTTAAGCGGCATGTTTTAAATTATCTACTTCTATCATTGTGGTGTAATACCTATATACTTAGAAGTCATTTTGCATCCATTTATTTGACTCCATAGGCTACTGTTAATATATTAATGAATATTCCCTAGCCCACAGTATTAAATTACAATGCTTGAGTGTTTAGGATGAGGTTACAAAATAGTGAGAGGTTTCAAATTTTGAACAGATGTAAAAATTCAATCCCCCAAGCCAATCATGCAATCACCATAGCGACAAATTATGCAATTGATTCAAGCTTAAATCTAAATCTATACATTTCTATCAAGCCAATCTCAATTCCCAACTGGTAAGTTATTCTAGCTGGCTTCAACACTTCCGGGTTTGACTCATCACTACACAAACACGAGTTACATTCAAATCATTTAATCTCAGGCTTTTCCATCAATCACTACCACCCATAATGTCTCCTAAGATTAGGCTTAAAATATCATGCCATCTCAAAGCCAGGCTCTTCCATAATCCATCATTGCCCACCGGGATAGAATAAATAAGGGATCTCTACCCAGACTATACTTGACCCTTTTAGCATGATTGTCAACTTTTGGCACATTTACACAATAGTTTTAACTCTTTTCCCCAAATGCGTTTGTACTGTCTGCTCCTCCCCACATGAAATGTTTATAAAAAATGACAAACCTTTTGATTAAAAACTAAAAGCAATATCTTAAACTGTCTGTCTGGTCCAAAATGATGATAAAATTTAATGACAATTTTACAAAAAATGTATGTAAAGTGTTAATGACAGGTATAAGCTTCCATTGTAATTGAGTTCAATTCTAAAATGACAAAATACTTTTGGCCATAATGATAGTTATGTTCTTTAAATGGTAATTATACGACAATGACAATTATATATGTACTTATATAATGCCTTGCTTCTAATAGGAATACATATACAGTTATACAGTGTATTGTCATGGTTACAGGATATTACTAAAATAGAACTTGTGAAACCATATAAACGCTATTTTACTTTCTTGAGAATCGCAAAGAAATTTATTGCCTTGGAAGCTTTTTGCTGAATATTTCAATGCCACAAAAATTGAAAACACACCTGTTGCTATTTTAGATTTTTTGTTTTTGAATCAAATGCCTACTTGAATAATTTATGACATTGCATAATGCTTAGTCGTTAGTAAAAAAATGCTTACAATACCGGTATATGTACAGTGGAAAATCACGAACACTTAGAGAACAAAAAACCACATTGAGCACTAGAGGGCGCTATCCCGAAGTATTGCGGAATATTCTGATTTATGTAATTTAAAGATTGACACAGCTTAAATCCTCATGACAGGAATTTTTTGAAATTGTGGTAATTATTCTTTGTGACTGGTGATTTGCTTTGGGTATCAAAACTGTTCGTTTAAACACTGTATGAATCTAAATTGTATTGATTTCACCAATTTCCACATCCAAAATGGTCACTGAAGTAGGGCTTAATGCTATGGAAAAATCTCCAAATCATTCTTTCCATGGAATCATTAGCCTTTTTTGTTTGGCTTTTGTTTTTTATTTGTTTAAATTTTCCAATTTTTTAACTAAACAAGCAGCCTCTCGGCTGAGATAGCTCCGATGTTAGCAATGCACATTTCAATTAAAGAACAGAAGATATCATTAGAAAATGAACAATATGTATAGTATCAAGCAATGGGACTTGCTGTTTTCAACAAGAATTCAAAAATATCACTTTTTACGAAAAATTACAAAAATATTCACTAAAATTAGAGAATTAAAGATATCATTACAAAATGAACAAATCTGAGAGAGGTCCACATGTAGTACCTATATATGTAATATCAAAGCAATTGGACTTGCGGTTTTTAACAAGAAGTCGAAAATATCACTTTTTACCAAAAATGACAAAAATATTCACCAAAATTAGAGAATTGAAGATATCAACATGAAACGAACAAACCTAAGAGAGGTCTACCCAAGGTACATATATACCAAGTATCAAAGCATTCAGGCTTGTAGTTTTCAAGAAGAAGTCGAAAAAGTAAAACATTGACACGGACGACGACGGACAATCACTCATATGATGAGCTCCGCTCGACAAAGTCGACAGCTGAGCTAGAAAAAACTTTATTTTTGGCAGAGTCTAATTGATCTATTGCTCTGAATAAATGTGCATCTTTTAAATAATTAAACTAGCCTGGATGTCCTGAATGACCAGTTAATAGTTTAGGTCAAATATAAGGTCATGTGATAGAAAATTCAACATCAGCCATCATGGCTGACGAAATCCATGCGGCTTGTACTCACCTCAAAAGCATAACGTTCCACTAGGGAAATATCTCTCTCATCTAACAGGGAATATTTTGTCTGAAAGAGATGGAAACAAATTGAAAGATTATTTGTTGATTTATATTGGCTGCTTGTAGCAATCGATAAATGGCTGCTTGTAGCAATCGATAAATGACTGCTTGTAGCAATCGATAAATGGCTGCTTGTAGCAAGTGATAAATGGCTGCTTGTAGCAATCGATAAATGACTGCTTGTAGCAAGCGATAAATGGCTGCTTGTAGCAATCGATAAATGGCTGCTTGTAGCAATCGATAAATGGCTGCTTCTAGAAATCGATAAATGGCTGCTTATAACAATCAATAAATGGCTGCTTGTAGCAATCGATAAATGACTGCTTAATGCTTGTAGCAATCGATAAATGACTGCTTGTAGCAATTGATAAATGACTGCTTGTAGCAATTGATAAATGGCTGCTTAATGCTTGTAGCAATCGATAAATGACTGCTTGTAGCAATCGATCAATGGCTGCTTGTAGCAATCGATAAATGACTGCTTGTAGCAATCGATAAATGGCTGCTTGTAGCAATCGATAAATGACTGCTTGTGGCAATCGATAAATGGCTGCTTGTAGCAATCGATAAATGGCTGCTTGTAGCAATCGATAAATGGCTGCTTGTAGCAATCGATAAATGGCTGCTTGTAGCAATCGATAAATGACTGCTTCAAGCAATCAATAATTATTTATTTATAATAAAATGTTAACTATTGATGATTTTTTATTTTTTATAATTGAAAACAAAATTAAAGGAAACATCAATCAAAGCACCATAATGACCCCTGAAGAAAAAGGTCCACAAATGTAGCAGAATGCAATTTACAATTTTTTTATATCACTTTTCATTCTCTAGATATTCAACTTTATGACATTATTATGTAGTCAGCCATCTTGATTCTCAAGCAAAGGATTATGGGTAAAGTATGACATTATAGAATCTGTTGTCAAAAAATTGAGAAAATTATTCCATCTATAACATGAGAAATACTGATGCGAATTAGTTCAAATTTTTGTTGTGCATATTACTCATGTATATAATTATAGTAGTGGAAATTAGAATATTACAAATACACATGAAGTGAAGATATTGCTAAAAACGTTAAAAAATAAAAATCGATATTTTAGTCACGAAATATAAAATGACACTTTTGTGTCCCCTTTTTGTGGTCAACATGTGATATATCACCTATATAATCTACTCACATTGGTAAATTGTATACAATATAAGGAAATTTGAGAATTTGGTAGAAAAACATAAAAATCAATATTCTCAGTTCTGTTTACATGACAACTATTTTATAAACATGGATGGCACCAGTACATGTATGTTACCAATCTCTAAACTTTCAGCCAATTTTAAGTTAAACTTTTGAAGTTATAGATGAAATCATTTTCTCAATTTCTGACAACAGAATCTATGATGTCATACTTTACCCATATTCCTTTGCGTGAAAATCAAGATGGCTGACTACATAATACAAATGAAAAGCTGAATATCTAGAGAATAAAAAGTGATATAAAAAAACTGTAAATTGCATTCTCCTACATTTGTAGAGCTTCTTTTTCAGGGGTCATTATGTTGTTTGGGTTGATGTTTCCTTTAAGTTCAACAATGGCAGATATATGCACACATTGCTCAAAGATGTTGTAGAGTTCATGCCAAGGTTGATGAACTCAGAGCAGTGCAGCGTAGCAGCACATTGGAGACGACTGCGAAACAAGAGAACACATCACATAATGAGCTATGCGTCATGAAATTGTGCGTATAACGATAAATCCACCACAGGCATTAGTCTTTCAACATGATTCTGGCAAGACTGTTTCGTTTTTTTTAATGTCAAAATAATTATTGCTACAATAATGTCTTCAGTTTTTTTCATAGAGTAAATTCAGTATGTAAATAAATGGCACAGTCATCAAGTGATGATATTGTATAAGCAAATTTTGAAAGCCAGACAACTTTTGTCTCTTTTCACAAAATTAAGGTAAATCGTTTTTTTCCCAAAAAATTCATTCCAATAGCAAATTATATCTATTCGTTCAAAAATTAAAAAAGAAATTATAGAACAATTTATGTATGTAAAAATGTGTCAATTTTGGCAGGAAAGAAAAACCTGTGCATCCAAGAAGTTAAATCACATCACCTACGCCTTTCTGTTTTAACAGTCCTTTCATCTCGCCAAAATGTAAAAGGAATTTTCCTCATACATGTACATGTACAATTATTATATCGGTAACAATTCAATTCACACAGAATTTGTCATTTACATATTTGCACTATGCAATATTGAAAATTACTATATTTTATTTAAATTTATTTTTGCTGTATAGGTAAAAACTCATCCAGTAAAGCATGGAAGATAAAAACTGGATAAATCGCATCATTTTGCAGCATTTCAGGAATCAATAAAAAACATTCAACACTCAAATGCTATTTCAATAGAATAAAATTCAAGCTTGCAAAAAAAACATTTGTTGTTTTTGTTGAAAAAGTGGAAGGATACATTATTGTGAAGCGGTGATGCAGTTAATCTAAATCGTTTCAGAATGGTTCGAAGCCATACAAAGTGATAAAAATTCACTGCTCAGATTTTTTTTTAAATCGCCATCTATTTTTCTCAATTTCTTGTATCTGTCTAAATCAAACAGCAAATGGAACAAGAGAATTTTATTGCATTACAGGCGTGAATAGAGATGTATGAAGATAAAGATTGAGTTTCTGATCTAAACATGTATCCTCTGTGCATCTCAGCAACGAACTTACATATACATATACCATAGAGGTAGGAAAGAGAAGGAATGGGGACGCTATTTAAGCCGTGTTACTCATATAAACATCCTTTGTCTTCGCACTGATTAAACCACTTATCGTTTTTATATAGAATTCGTTTTATCTACATGGTGATAGCCGCTTATTTACACAAGAAAATGAGAGTAGAACTGAAAAAAATAAATTCTGTTTAAACATCGTCAATAAAATTGAATGCGCAAAACATAAATAAAAGAATTGTGCATGCACAATAACCTTTATTGGATCACAAAGGTCATTTCACACTCGTAGTATTAGAGATACTGCATACGGACTCTTCTAAGATGAGTGATTATGTCTTTCTTGATATTTGTCATTGCAAAAGTTGTGCAACTTCAGGCATTGATAAAAAAAATTCCAATAAAATTTGAAGATGCACAAGTTTCTAACAAGATGTTTTGACGGTGCAGTTTTTATCGGTGTGCAGAACTTGTGCAATGTAATGTGACGATATTTCAATATTTGATCTTGTAGAAATGTATTTTCGAGTTTATATATATTTATTCACTAGTCATTGTTCTTTCTTAAGTTCATCTGATTTGCATATGCACTGACAATTTGAGCCATAGTATGATATTTGCTACACTTAGGGAGTTCTCTGAATATAAATAGAGCAGTCATGTGGTTTGAAGTTCAGTACTGTGGTAGATTTTGCTTTGAACAGCAGCTGAACGTTTTGGGCATTGTCTGATGGTTACACGTGGTCGGGCACTTCGTGGCAATTGGTTGCACCTGTTTCCAAGATACTTTCACATCTTTGCCTTCCACCTGTCGACTGGCTTTGTGCACCGGCATCTACGAACGCACCGACGGAAAAGATTGTGAATTGGTCGCTTAAACTACATGAACAGCCACCTTGATTAGTGTGCGCCGCATCTACGATACCAAGTCTACGCTAAGAAGTTCTACAGCCTACTTCGTTTGCAGTGTGAACAATGAACTGACTGTGGTTAAGTAATTTACATATAGCAAATTACAGTTATGCCCACCATTTTACGTTAACTACCACAGTGCTCAGCATATTTGTATTTAAGTATTTAGCGCTTTAATATTATGTAATTAATTGTTGAGTAGATTATTATTGTTGATTGATGTTCTGTAGACGCGAACCATACATCTCTCTGGTATTGCATATATATATATTCTATCGAACTTCAATAAACGAGTACGTTCTATTCACGCATATACGTAACTCTGGTTTGTTTTGTCTATTGTTTGAATCACTCTGATTGACTGGGGGCTCGTCGAGCTACACTTGCCTCTTCCCCACGTGACGGTAGCACATGACAGTAACCACTACATGAGCGCCGATCACTGGTAGCGTAGTGGTTGTTGCATCAGACATATGATCGACAGAGCCAAGTTGAAATCCTACCTCAGGCTGAACACCAAAAGGGTCGACCCCTACCCAGGGTGAGTGTGCCTCAGACCCAATGGGAAGGGCGAATTCCACTGGCCAAAATTCATTCACTAACGAATGTGACTTTGGGGAAACCTTGGTTAAGGTCCGCAGGTGCTTGTGTTCGACCGAACCTGGTTGACGCCAGGATAGCCATTAAATTGCAATTTAATAGAGAGATGGCCACACATGTGTGTAGTCCCAAAACATAAATATGGCTTCTGTGGCAAAAATGCACTATATGTCAGCACTTGCAACTTGCACATACAAAAAAAAAAAATGAGCATGAGCAATGTAACTGCCACATGAGCAAGGTAACTGCCACATGAGCAAGGTAACTGCCACATAAACCGAAAGAAGCACATTAACAACTTCACATCATAAATATTGTTGTTGTTGTTGTTGTTCTCCTCATAGATCCCAACATAGAGACTAATTTGCATATTAGAGCGTACTGGTATAAAATCACAATAATTGTTATAACAATAATCTCAATTGTCTCCTTAGAAATTTAAGCAATATATGACGCCTTGTGCTTAAATAAAAGCTCAACACTTCTCATTTATTATGTAACACATGCTTTAAGGGACGTTTTTCAAATATATTACTATGATCAATATAATTGTTTTTCCCTTTTGTACATGTGCATATACTCAGTAGATGGCGTCCTCAACATACTCGTGTAAATTACAACACAAATATACACTAAATTAATCTAAACTAAGTGATGACGTCAAAAGATCGATGTCGGATAAAAATCTTATTTCCTTTAGTTTGGGGGTGGGGGGTTTTGACCTCAAAAAGTTTCCATCCTACAAAAACGATTTTATTTTTTAATGAAGTCAAAAAAATCTTGGAGTATTTGTAGTTCTATCCAATCATGGACAGAAATAACCGAAAAGGGAAAAAAAACAGAAAAATGGTTTGGTTCGAGTGTAAATCTGTGCGTCAAATGAGGTGTATTTGTAAAATCTTTTTACACCCACCCGACAACCAACTGCTATGCAATACTACTGTCCGATCATCAATTTGTATTTAATGGTGAATGTAGTCTGACGCCATGACCAATATTTATCAATTAAGTTTTAGTGGGGGATAGGGGGGTTTGGAAAAAAACTAAAGGAATTAAGTTTTTTATCCGACATCGATCTTTTGACGTCATCCCTAACTTTGTTATGGGTGTCTAAGTCAGCTGGGGATAATGTAGAAATATAATTGATTACAAAGAATGAAAAACAGAACTGCAATGATTGAACATCCCTGGGTGCATTCATGATACATTACAGGTGTCAACCACCATAGTACATGCATTTTTAAGATTTTTCCTGTTGAAATTATGATAACATTTTGTAAATTTTTATTTATTTTTTTATAATTTCTTTGTTGATTTTGGACCAAATGAACGTAATTTTCTATTGAATAGCTTTTTATAAAAATTATTGTTGAAACGAGTAATGACATGACATATGCTTCAATATTCAGAATTTTTTTAAAACACAGACCTTGTATATTCCATGAAACGCACATTTTTTTTACACACAGAAAAAGTGAACATTGCATTCACTAAAAATGTTTCACTCTGGCATATCTTTTAGGGATGTATCAAATTTAAACAAAATCCATGCAAGAATGTCTGAAATAGACTTCCACTAAAAATGGAGCTGTGAATAATATACCCTCGGAACTGATTTCATTAAAAAACAAAATGGCCACCACTCGGTCATTTTGAAATCCCAGCTGCAAAACTAAGCAAAGTGCATCAAGTTCCCATAATGTCTAATGTATATACATGTACACTGCTAAAGATTTGGTTGCGGAATGACAAAAATGCTTGATTTTGAGGAATTGTTAGCATCTAAATGGCTGCAAGTCTGATCACAAAATGAATAGAAGTGCATATGTATCCAACGGTACATGATGCATGTGTAAAGTTTGAACACGTTTGTTCCAGGCATATCAGAGTTACAGGTGTGGACACACAGACACATTCCCTGATAATTATCTTTAACCTTTTCACCTCCCCACTTACTCGCCCAAATTTGTCTGCACATTTTTTTATATTCCTCCTTATTTCTGGAAATAAACCCTAATTTTGGAGCCAACAGACAAAATTTGAATAAATTTTTACTCAAAAAAGTTTTGGCTATTTTTGTTCCAATCTTCAAAATTCAGTATTTTGTGAATTTGTGATGAAAAGAGGGAACTGCTAGTGAAAAGGCAATTCTTGCCAGTATGACCAAAGTCCCAGCCCATCTAATATTGATCTAAAAACGTAATAATTAATATCAGAAATCCTGACCAAAGTCCTAGTCTGTCTAATGTGGATTTAAAAAAAACGATAATTATCAATCTAATATGGATCTGAAAATTCAATCATTAAATTAACAGATAATGAATCAGTGTACAATATCTCGGCTTCTGTAATAATTTGTTGTTGCTTACTTTGCGTAAGCAACCATCCAACATCAACAGAAAAGCCTTGACATGGAATCCACATGGGAAGTGGAAACGAGGAAGGCCTAAAAACACCGGGCGGAGAGACCTCAACGATGATGTTAGGCACTCAAGATCCACCTGTGGGCAGCTTGAGACTGCAGCACACGCTGGAGGAGGGGAGACAAGCCAAAGTGAAGTGAATTGTAATAATTTACTAACAAATATACGCATACATGTACTTACTTTATAAATATACAAGTTTCTGATCTATAAGAACTGTTATTCCATTATATCATGGTAGACAGTCTCGCAGAAACTAACAAACCTAAGTAATTCAACAAAAGTAAGTGCTACCTGGCATACCAAGCAACTAATACCATGTTGGTTACGTGGAACAATTCATATGCAAATGAATCCAGTCTTTAATTTGCCACTCAGACTGGTCAAGTAATCAACAACAAAGGTTTTGAAAATCAACTAAAATTATACATCAACGGTAAATTTGGACCAACAATAAAGAATGAAATATAATGTTACTTACCCCAGAAATCAGATTTTTTTGCAAAATTTATTTATTTTCCCTGCTACAACATTCTTAGACTTAGAATTAAAGTGCTTTACAGACGTCAATTGTAACAAAATAAAATCACATAAAAAATTTAAAAAAATTACAGCCCCCAGGATTGGAAATGGTCTACCCCTTAATGCCACATAAAGCTTTGTACTAAAGATGAGTATTTTCAGTACTAATCAAATCCAGATACAGAATGTAATCCCTACTTCAAATCCAAAATTTAAAAAAACATACATTGATGTAAAAATGTTAAACCCTGTGACAATTAAAAAAAAGAAAGATTTAATACTACAAGGTTAAAGTGCAAAGGTTACAAATGGCCCTGGAATCAGCATACAGTAAATTGTATTAAAGACTAATACATTTTATCACAGCTTTGACTCACACGAATTATTTAAAAACATTTCATTAATAAAGGATTTTATAATGTGAAATAAATTCATGTTTCATTTTTTATTTATTTTTAAAAATCGCAAGACGCAAAATATACACATTTTTAGAAAGCCACGTAAAACGGGTAGGCATCAGAATACAAAATAACGGTAACCTTTTGGTACTTGTTATTTGTTTACCTAATTACTCACACTATTCAGTTCATTTTGATAAATAAAATGGCAGGCATTTCCAGTCGCAAATACGAGTATGATTATTCCTGGAGATTTTAGTGTCACGTATGAGAATAATAAGTTAATACTGGCTCTGTGTGATGATATTTCCTCGCTGTTATCGGAACTAGCGGTTGGTGTCGCTCTCAATGACTGATGTCATTTTACGAGCTAGTCAACGTTTCCGATGCGAATTTTAATACAACGTACATTTGTACGTGTTATTGTATAAAACTGCGACATGTTAGCGATTCGAATGATGCATTTGGTAAGGCGATTGTTCTGGCTGTGGCTCGCATCACATGGCGCTAGCAATCGGATACAGCCATAAAAATAGCCGCTGAAGGTCGCAGTCTAACAACGGGAGGCGGTCGGCTGGCATAGACACGGGTGGTGTTGGGAGTTCAAGTCGTTTGTATCTTAATAGAATGCGTTAGTATTGACGAGTGTCGTAGACATTGGATAAGAACGACTGGTTTGTGCCAAACAGCTGAATAAATGTCCAGCCAACCCAGGCATGGTTCAAGGTATAGCGAATAATATGGGCGTCTGACAAAGAAACGATCGACTGAGTCATGATGAATGAACGGTACGCCAAAGTGTCAGTGCTGAGCGAGCAGCCTTGGAAGACCGGCTCGCACAGGAAATGATATTGAGGAGGATTTTTTTTTTTTAGTAAACAGGAAAATAAAATACTTAATACCATGATAAATATATTACTAGATTCGTCGTCGTCTTGATTGCATTGAAGATGCAATTTTCCAGGCGAGACTGGTTTCTACATGCTTTAAGGGTAATATGTGCCGAGAAAATCATACGAGTAGCCAAGCTTGTTGACGGCCATTCCACGGTGGCCAAGCAATCACCAGCCAGTCGGCAACTGGGGAATAGACATTTCCCACAAACATCGAGTACGGACCACCACTGGCGACTCGAGCAATTAGATAACACACTAGTAAGCGATTAGAGGAACCGAGAATAAAAGGCAGGCAAATCTGTTAAGAACGGGAGCAAGGTTGATCGAAACTAGCATAGCGAGTACCACCATTGTCTATGACTATAGTCGACAAATACACACAGAACACTGCACAGATAAAGAGTTGACCTAAAAGAGATGGGGGAAAATAACACATTATTTTACCTTTCCAGCGGCTCGACCGAGCCGTACGATTCCTAGCTTAAAACCCGACATCCGCCGCCCCTCTCCGTATTGTTACTGTGACTCGACACCGTGGGTAAAATCGAAAATCGACGAAAAATAACTGAAAGGACCGTCAACTCGCTACAGAATAGTCTTGTCAGCACTGAGGGCGGTAAACTACACGTGTTTAATGAAATCAGCGTCAGCCAATCAGCTGGGCGGATTATGTTTACACCACGCCCACTCGCCCCGGTCTTTTTAAATGGTAAACAATGTAATTTCATTTCGAACAGCTGACATGCTAGCGAGTTCTCTGTCATCCTATACCGACATGACCCATTTGTAGTCATATCATATCATGCATTAAAGAAACTTTTGCTTCAAAAATACTTAAATGTACACAAAAGATTATGCCTAAAAGTAAATTTAAATTATAAATTAACTACTGGCAAAATTAGTTAAATAAAGATAAAATAGAAGAAAAAAAAAACACCCACAAAAATGTTGCTAAAAATATTGCTCTCAAAAATATCTCAATCTGGAAAAGAACTGCTTTAAAGGGCGGCGGTCGTCGCGCTGCGTCCTGTTCGATACAGGTCTCATAGCAACGTACCAACGCGTGTAAAATACATTGTTTATTTACACGAAATTCGAAATTTCTTCACATTCCTTGCCAATTGAGAAAGACCGTTATATAGCCTGTCTACAGCGAAAGTGTAAAAATGCAATAATTCAGCCGGGAAAAAATAAATACTATTGTGAGGAGGGGAAAAGGAGGTAGCTGGTACAGGTTACAGGAAATAAAAACGGCATTTTACGTTTTTACAGGTTCCATTTTACAGTAAAAAATAGGTTTTTACACTATACAGATATTTTTGATAATTTGTGTTTAAAAATCAAAATTGAAAATTGCGATCCAATTACGACATTTAATTCGGAAAATGCCTTATACGCTTATACAAAATACTATCTTTTTACAAATTACGGACGAATAAAATAGCTGATTACATTTTACACCTTACCCATGTCTACGAATTTACTTTTTTTATTTATTTAAATTATATTATTACGAAAATAAAAACAATTGATTACAGCTTACGAAAATGTCCCTTGCCGACCCTCTATTGTTTATTGTCCATATTTCCAAAATATTATATTAAAAGTAACAGAAACAGCAGCAGATACCAACTTTCAATTCTGTACCTTTGATGAGACTTTAAGATTTACTTACCTTTTGTGCTGTTTTAACAAGAGTGATTCACGCAAAATGACAATATATATACGAATTAAAATAACCTGCCGCACATTGATAACTAAAAGTCCCAAAAATGAACACTTACATTATACCAGAAAAATAAAGCTCAAAACCAGGTAAAAGGGTATAATTAATTTTCGCAGTTTTTCTAGCATCTTCCCTGCCACAGTTTCTTGGGGTCAAGTCCTGGTGTGATTCACCAGACAGGCTGATACACGATGGAAGAAAGAGTCTATTTCTACTCTTATTCTAAGTAGATTAAAAACACTTCATACAATATTTTTAAAATTAGGTAAATACCTACTCGATGCTTAATTTTAACGACTAAAAATTTGCTAAATGTTCTGCCATCCTGCCAGGCCCGAGTACTGATCTAGATCATGGATTTACTGTGCTCCGGGGTCCGACTTGTGGAAATACCTGGAACCCATGTCTGTGAAAGGGGTTTTCAAAATGACCCTAAACACGTTTTAAAAGGTCAAAATTTCGTACCATTTTCACTGTTAGAAAGCTAAAATACATACCCTAAATGCGTTGAGTGTTTTAAAATCTATTTACCGCATGAAACAAAATTAAAGCGGAAATGTTGTTAGCATTTAAATGGCAATTAACACTGTGATTAGATACCTTCACAGTGTGGCTATAATATCCTTACCTCTAATATTTATTTTTCCAGGAATATGCAAACATCAAGAAATTTCTCCAGTTTGGTTTCGACAATTTCCATCGTTTATCATATATCTGAAACCTATAAATAAAACCCACTCTATCTCAACTCATCCTGAGGTCTTTCACAACCAATTTTGAATTTGCAAATTATTTAATTGAAAATTAACAATGGTGCTGTAATGTGTTTTCAAAATATCAAGGCAGAATGTTCATAACGATAATTGCACTGTCGAACGGAAAAAAACACCCTTTTTTGTCTATTTTGACTGAAATGGTAACCCTAAACGCGTAACGCGCGTTAACGTGCTTTTCTTTAAAAAAACACCCCTTTAACGCGTTTTTTTCACTGACATGCGTACCGGATCATTCTTTAAGTCGGACCCCTGGGACCGTGCCATCCTGCCAGGTCCGAGTAGTCATCTACATCATGAATTCTACCATCCCACCCAGTCAGGTCTGAGTAATAAGATAGATCATGAATTCTACCATCCCACCCAGTCAGGTCTGAGTAATAAGATAGATCATGAATTCTACCATCCCACCCAGTCAGGTCTGAGTAATAAGATAGATCATGAATTCTACCATCCCACCCAGTCAGGTCCGAGTAATAAGATAGATCATGAATTCTACCATCCCACCCAGTCAGGTCTGAGTAATAAGATAGATCATGAATTCTACCATCCCACCCAGTCAGGTCTGAGTAATAAGATAGATCACGAATTCTACCATCCCACCCAGTCAGGTCTGAGTAATAAGATAGATCACGAATTCTACCATCCCACCCAGTCAGGTCTGAGTAATAAGATAGATCACGAATTCTACCATCCCACCCAGTCAGGTCCTGAGTAATAAGATAGATCATGAATTCTACCATCCCACCCAGTCAGGTCCGAGTAATAAGATAGATCATGAATTCTACCATCCCACCCAGTCAGGTCCGAGTAATAAGATAGATCATGAATTCTACCATCCCACCCAGTCAGGTCTGAGTAATAAGATAGATCATGAATTCTACCATCCCACCCAGTCAGGTCTGAGTAATAAGATAGATCATGAATTCTACCATCCCACCCAGTCAGGTCTGAGTAATAAGATAGATCATGAATTCTACCATCCCACCCAGTCAGGTCTGAGTAATAAGATAGATCATGAATTCTACAGACCCAGCCAGGTCTGAGTAAGCAGTTAGATCATGTATTGTAGCATGCCATCCTGCCAGTCCCGTTGCTGCGACACTTAACAGTATTACAGGTTTCAATTATTCTCTCTGTTAAAACCAATCAATTAATGACACTGATATTGTTAGACATTTTTTTCGTGAACAGCTTCCCGCCCGGGCTCTCAAGGAATGGTATCTTCGCATGGTACACCTCTCAAAAGCAATGCTAGAGGGCAGTATTCACAAATTATTTGGTGAAATAACTACCAAAGAGTGTATGTACTAGTACTAGTATACATTCTCCTGAGTCTAGCATTGAGATGCCCCAGGAGGCTACATTCAAAACAGACAATGTTTCCATGGTTTCATCGGTCGGTGTATGTAATGTAGTCAGGCGGAAACAATGGGTCTCAAGGCTATGATGGAACCTAATTAAATTCACGTAAATTTACTACTTTTCATGGAGACGGCTAAAAACCTGATCATAAAATATGCAGTAGAGAAAACTCATCGTGCTTTGCAGGTTCAAATGTCATCAATCTGCCATAATTAAATAGGCATGATTATCGAAGACAACGAACCGTGTATCGTCGAAATAAGCATAACAGTGTTATTTAATCTCTTAAAAATGCAATATAGACGAAAACAAATACTTTAAATTTGTTGTTCGATACTCCAGGATGTAGACCAAATCAGGTTATAATTTATCATAAACTGAAAATGTTTGCAGGACATACAACCGTATTGGATTGATGACAAATCAAACCCACTAATGCGCATGTGCAATCAATGAACATGCGTATAGTGAATCTCATTGTTCAATCGAACAAATATCCAGATGTATGTCATAATAACAGTGTTTTCATTTTATCATAAATCATACTATTTCTTAATATCATTCTGAACATCCATGTTGTCCCTGAGAGATATCTAAATATAGAAAGTGTTGAGATTATTATCCACAGCGACCTCTAGAGACCGGGAAAGACGAAAGAAATGTAATTAAGGTCGAAGCTGGCTATCATTTTTAAAACGGAAAATCAGATTTTCTCTAGCTTTTATTTATTTGTTTATTTTATGGTTTTATTTTATGGAATTCAGATAAAAACATATGGTCACCGAAACTGTGCCAAAACACAGGTAAACCCTCCATCAAATGGCGATTTGCGGCGGTGAGCCATTTATTATGGGTTTCTATTGTAAATGAGTCTCACTAATTTCGTTCGGTCACATGTTGTAAAACAATGTACTAGGCGGGTATTTATGACTGACACAACTATAAGGAAATCATGATTGAACATGGATTCCTGTGAAAATTGTACATAAATTATAGGGTCTGGCCTTACGGTTACGTATAAGCAGACACTGCCGTGTATACCAGTAGACCAAGTCTAGGTATCTGGACCACAAAACGCAGCGAAACCATGGTTACACTATTGTGTCACACGCAACGTAATATTACCGTAATTGGTATAGTACAGGTGTGATGGTTCAAATACCAAAATGGCAACAGTAACAGAAAGACTTCCCTGGCGGCGATGATAAAATACGAACACGGAGCCAACAGATGAGGTTTCAACTGGTACTGGTATTATTATACTTTGCAAACATCAAGTACAATAACGCGGTAAAACTCCACTACTCCAATAACTAGTTTAAACTCCAATACAATTCAACGATCTGAACTCAGTGCTGAACAACTCCCCTATATATACCCCCACTGTCTATAAATAGACCATTACATCAGCATACATAATGAGTCTGGAACTTACTACCAATTTCTAGAATGTTCCATTACCTTCTATTGCCTCCTACAGTGTTCTATTACCTATTCAACCAGTTTCTAAACAAAATCTAGAATATTCCACCCAGACACAGTACGGTTCTAGAACATTCTCAGTGACACGGAAGTGGTACATAAGTCGTATGCGACATATTGTCGCGACCAGAACGTGATGGATTCGCGTTTCCCGGTGACTTTTGTTGTTTTGAATAGATGTAAAATTCACTTTCGACAGTGCCGACTTTTTTGATAATATGGATGCGATATTAGTGAAATTGACATATAAATTGAAATTGATAATAAAGT